CCAATCCTTTCTGAAAGAAAAGAATTCTTGTCGCCGTCAATTCCCAAGGTGTCTGTGTTTCTCGGTACGAGAAATAAAGGAAATTTTAGGATACTGGAAGCCATAATGGTGATGAATAGCGTAGTGTGGTATCACGTCTGAAACCAGGCGGTTCGGGTACATCTGGTACCGGTCTACCAGAGCGGGCGAGCATTGAACCAGCGAGTGCCACTCGAGAAAACAATAGCGAGCAACGCTCTTGTTCTCTCTCCCTTTCTCTCTCAGTCTCTTTGGTCCTCTATCGTCACCCTGAAATCTGGAACCCATGTTGTAGAACCGTTTCATCGAAACCAGAGACGCTCGATCTCTTTAGCCGGGCGAACCTCGCAAAATCGTACACAGAGTTTTTCGTTTGCGATTTCAAAGTGAAATCTGTCGCACGTTTATCCGTCGTTTCTACAACGTTGGGAAGGAACATTTTTTCGCTTGATTCTTTCCGAGACAGTTCTAAGAAGATATTTGTCCGACACGCATATATTGGAGGATTTGCGATAAACATCTCACAATGGACAGAGTATTGTGTTCTGCACGGCCCGTTTAATTTGCATTGCCCGCATAAAGCATCGATACTTCCGATAGCCCGCATGAGCACCTAACAATAAGTGTAAACAACTCTTTCGGCCCGAGCTTCTCACACTGTTCCCGCTCGCTCTTCTAATTCCTTCGTTCGCTTCTCTGCCCGAAATAGTCATCTAATAGTTTCTAAGCAGATCTTGCTAGTAACGATTATCCCTCACGTGATCTTCTTCAAAACTTAACCAAAACTCTAGCAATCTAGCGGTTATTTTTAAAAACAAATTTTAAACTTATCCGTCATTTTCAATAAGAATTCTACCTTTGAAATTTGCAAAAGTTACTTATTTTATTATTCCCAACGTAATCTTCTTCAAAACTTAACCAAAACTCTAGTGGCCATTTTTAAAAAATTAAAATTTATCCGTTGTTTCTAATAAGAATTCTACCTTTGAAATTTGCAAAGGTTACTTATTTTATTATTCCCAGCGTGATCTTCTTCAAAACTTAACCAAAACTCTAGCAATCTAGCGGTCATTTTTAAAAACAAATTTTAAATTTATCCGTCGTTTCCAATAAGAATTTTAGTCCCCTTGAAACCCGCGAAAGTTACTTCTACCGATGTTGCTCGATGAAACATTGCTCTTTGAGGAATTTCGCGGAGGATACATCTCGAGCTCGGTTATTGCGTCTGCACGCGATTATGGATGATCGAGCCACGTCGTGCGTGCCGCGCATACTCCTCCACTCCGAAGTGCTCCTTTCTGTGAAGCATGCGGCGTTATCTCGGCTTCCTTGTTGTCCCTTTGATGAAATAAAGCACTATCCGCGGCGAGATCTACCCCACGTTAGTAGTTGCGGTTCCTGGTCTTCTTCTCTCTCTCTCTCTCTTTCTCTCCCCGCCGCCATATGTAAGTACACATACATCGCATATACTTTCTCCTTCTCTCTTCTTTTATCCTCGAGTTCTCTCGACAGTGCAGGACACAATGCGGCCCTTACATCTTCATCGAGTACGAGTCGTCGCTTGCGTGTAATGCGTTCGCTCTACTACACGTTTTCCATACCCGGTGGTGTACGCGAGTCTCCGAGCATTTCCTACTCGACTCGAATTCGTTCGGACAACACTCGTCTCTCTCTCTCTCTCTCTCACACATACGGTGCCTTGCATCTCAAAGACGAGCGTAAATTAATTTAACCGTGGCCTTGTTATTTCGTCTTGTCGTATACTTGCTCGATTTTTTCCCTTTTCTTTCTTTTTTAACGAAGTTGAACGTGAGATTACCGATTCGAACGTTGTTGGCGTTACCTCTGTAAAGTAAACAGAAAGAAATCAGCGAAAAAAAAAACAGCAAAAATCGAATATTTGCAGAGATCGTTCAAAATTCAATATCCCTTTCTCTCTCTCTCTCTCTCTGCGATCCTCGAGTTCGGTTCAACGATTCTTCAAAATGTATCGCTTCCTCCAAACCATTTTCCATTCCCTTTCTCTCTCGCCCATTTTTTTTTTTTTTTTTTTTTTTTTTTTATGTAACACCGGAGAAGCACGATTTTTTTCACAAAATACCAAGCGTCGCTCTCTACAGCAAAGCCGATGTAAAACGCGTTTACGCCGGCGGACGCAGATTCCAATGCACTCTGCGCGATCTGTGTGTGGCTGAGGAAAAGAGAAAACATAAAAACAACGACGGAAAAACAGAAGCGGGGAAAAGAGACATAGGGGCGAAAGGGGGGGAGAGAAAGAGAGAAAGAGAGAGAGAGAGGGGTGAAAACAGAGAAAGAAGAAACTTTGGTACACGTAACTGGAGGCAGTCCGTTGGGTGGTTGAATCGTGGAGTGGAAGGCAGTGAGAGCCCTTGTACGCCCATGGAGAAGAAGGTCCAGGTGCGCCCTCACCTCACACGACTCTGCTCCACGGCACATCCGAGTTCTCTTCTCTCCCTTCGTATATATTCTCCTCCCTTCTTCTTCTTCTTCTTCTCCTTTTCTCTCTTTTCTCCTCTCTGCTCTGCTTCTTCTTCTTCTTCTTCTTCTGCCCGTTCTTTCCCGATAGCCGGCGTGCTCTCTCACGCGTTCTCTCTTGCGCCATGGTGGTGTACACGCATCGCTCTTGGGCAACGTAAAAACGCAGCAACCCGTGTTAATGTACGGGACATACGTTGGAACGCGCACGCGCATTT